CACGTTTCTCGCATGCACGCTGATTGGCAAACAGTTGGACGCATTGGAGTGAGTTTGTTTGACTGAATCAAAGGAAAAATGTCATGCATCCACAAAGGTCGTTAATTATGGATCCAACTAGCTGTATATACCGATATGTTTCACTCGCCCTCTGTCTCCGTTTTCGCCTGGTCCTGTTGTTTGCAGAATATACGTTTTGTCCCTGAAGGACCGACTTTTTACAGTGTCTACCACAAACCATATCGTATAGCGTCTCAAGCCAGGCACCAGGCGGGTCACGTAGACTCCAGCTGGAAAGTCAGACTGTAGGCTAATACCTGATCATATGTCGTTTAGACCAGCTTCCGTCAATGTTTCCGGCGATTGTTGTGAGCCAAGTAACTGTCTATCTCATTCGAGATAATGTGGACAGTCTAGAGAATTCCGGAATGGGACACGTTTAGTACTTGTACGTACTTGTAGTGGTAGTCCGTTCCACATATTGACATATCTCATAGAACAGAAAGTCGATCGGGTTCGATTAGCAGGTTTTAAGGTCAACAAGTAGTCGCCATTATTGGTGGAAAAGATGGCGGTTTTTCTTAGCTCGAGGCGGTACTCTCCGTGAAATGCCGCTTGTTTATAATGTTAAACAGCAGAACGAGATTGTTCTCCAATCGTCTCAGTCAAAGGAGATCCATTCGAAGGCGGTGGCAACGATCATATCAACTCAAGTTTGAGCAGCGCCCCATCACCAGCTTGCTACTTGATCGTTGGACATCTACTAGAGCTGTACTATCTTTCTTATTTGGCTGTTAATGACAATGCAACTACGAGTAGGTCTTCGCGTATACTTCCCAGACACGGTTTTAGTTGGTCTACTTGAAACGAGTAGACCAGTTCAACGCCATACGCAAACACAAACGAGTTTCCGTACTTGTTGGCGTCGCATATTTTATTTATGTAGATTAGGAAGAGGAGTGGTCCGAGCATACTTCTATGGAAGATGCAGCTGATAATTTGTTCTGGCGTAGACTATTTCTGACCGATTCTGACTATCTGCGTTCGATCGGAGTCGGACCAGCTTAGAAGGGGCTTTCCAATGCCATATGACTCTAGGACGAACAGCAGTTGCTGGTGCGGCGTGCGATCGAACGCCTTTTGCATGTCAAACAGAATTATAATGATTGTCATTCCTCTGTCGTGACCTGATTGAAGAGTTGTAGGCGGCAGGTAACGCAGGAGCATTTTAAAAGAAAGCTATGCTGTAAGGGATTTTTCAAATCCAGTATTGTAAGAAGTTGAACCACATTCTTCTTGATTATTTTTTTTAGGACTTTAGAGGCAGGAAATATGTGATTTATCTAGCTGTAGTCTGACCTTTTTTCCACCGGTCACCTCTGTGTTTAGGCATTATGATGGACTTCTTCCACTGAGATGGGAATTCGCCGGTAGTTTGTAAATGAGTGAATATGTTTAATAACAACATACAGTTATTTTTCGATCGTGACTCATGACAGCTTGAGAGATGCCATCTGGGCCCGGACTGGTTGATGATTTATGGCCGCGATGGCGTTCTACACCTCCCTCAATGTCACAGGAATATTGCAAAGTAGCTCGTTTATCCTTTGGAGTTTGGTGGGTGATACAGTTGAACGTCAAGAACAAAGGAGGAGGCGAAGCTAAAGTTGATTGACTCACATCTACAGGAGATGTCGCATATTAATAAATAATTGTCTAACATCAGCGTTTCAATTTCCTGCTAATGTTCAGGGTTTCTATTGAGTAGCTGAATCAGCGTGCGTTTATTTTCAGGAGTTCTGTGTACCAGACTTCATTGATTTTTGCTGTCTTGGTTAAACGTTGCAGTTACCATAGAGTTCCATGTATCTGTAGCAATATACTGAAGCTAATGTTACTGATATAAAATGCTTAAAGTCTCTTTAGTTTGGTTGTGGTTTTGTTGAGAAGCTTGTGCTGACCACTATACTTAAAGGTGTTGCTCCATACGACAGGTGCCAGTACATCGATACATAGAACAGTATTGTTGATAAATTCCTTTGCAGCTACGTCAGGGTCATGAGTTGAGAATGACGTGTCCCAGTCCATAGGACCGCTAAATTCATTAAATGCATTCTAGTCAACTCGATAGAGGTTGGCATTTGTTATCAATATCATACATGATAACCCGTAGCCTAAAGTCAACCAACTGCCTGCGTAGAAGCAGAGCGACCCTCGCTGTATCCTTAGCCCATGTGCTACCGGTAGTGTTTGCGCTACAGCGGTGCGTCGGTGCCGGCGTATTGCTGATACCTTTTCTCTACATGTTGGTCTAGATGATTTATCAGTCATGTGTTACAAAGTTACAGTGTTGTGCTCATAACCCTGGTAATAAATTATCAACGGATACATGTGCGGATGAGATCCCCATCGTGAATACCATATCTAGGATAGTGATACTTCTGGCGGACTCTAACATGCTGGGTCCAGTCATTGAGGTGGATGCAGGGTACTATTTCCTCATGCTTCGCAGTAGCCCTGGGTGTAAACGGCCATCAATTAACAAACGGCTGGTTGAAATCTCTGCGCATAACTTTGAACTTGTGTGTGGTACTAGAGGCAGTATATATCACATCAATTGGCTTTTGCGTTTCACGGTGAACGGCTATGGGCAGCTGATAGATACAACCCACTGACAAATCAATAGATAGGATCACTAAGTGTAGTCTACCTTCAACGTCACTGGGTGCCTCTTGATCAGCAGGGATCACTTTATGGCCACGACAAGGCTATAGTTGAGATCAAGGTTGGTAAAGTTTTCACCAACTGTCAGAGTTGCGTACAAATCTTCAGTGCTTGGCAATGGGTGTGCCGGCCCATAGCCTGTCTTGTAATCCGAGGGCGAGGGTTCGAGCTTGTGTAGGGACCGGGCGACCCTCACTGCATCCTTAGTCCACGTGCGACTGGTGGTGGTTGCGCGGCAGCGCAACGTACTGATGATACCTTATTACGAAGGTATTTGGCACAGCGACGGCCACTTTTAAGTGAGCAATCTTTGCGGAAATCCTCATTGCCTAAAATGTTAGGCTAACTCATAGATCTCTGATATGCACCACGTTTCTGTAGTACAACTATTCTCGGGTGATTTCATAAACATAAGTATTAAAAATAGATCCACCTAAAGTACTAGAGAACAAATGTTAATAATGACAGACTTGACTTTTTGCAATCTGAATAAAGTGGTGAGCAAAGCAAGACTCTTTGTCACTGCATTTTAAACCTGTGCGTTGTGAGGTAGTTAAGTCACATGGGATTCTGCATAATATAGGATTTAATGTATCAGGCACTCCAGTAACTGAATCATTCTCTGACTCATCATAGCATGTGATGGTTAGCCACTATGATTGATTCACTCCAGTTAGCTGTGTTGACCTCTTCCTTCCAGATCTTTTGCAACAAGGTTAACGCTTTACAGAGGACCTCACAACCATCCTTAGTATGGGGACTCCAGGCCAGCAGTACGAAGACGTGTATGGGCTGTGATCGCGTTTCGGACCACAGCCTCTGATTCAGCTTGTAAACTAATGTGCCAATTCTCAAACTGCACCATCTGAGTAAGATGAGGTCCGGGAACAAGAGGCCAACTGAACTTCTCTGGAAAGTGCTCCACCCAACGAGTCATACGACGCTCCTTATTGTGAATCAGTACACCTGTGCTCTCTCTATCCCGCTGAAAGCTGACTTTCTGGGACCAGTAGTGCAGATCATTTAGGAGAGCTTGAGATAATTGCCTACTGCTCCGGCCTCCATTTCTACTGCTTTGCTGGTCCACCAGGCTTTCTTGTCAGTACATAGACTCCGCTTTAGTTCGTGGGTAATAGTCTGCTTTGTCGCATTGTGCTCAGAGCTAGTTGCGAGTTTTCTTCTAACTTCCAACTGGTTCACATACCTCCCGGATGTCAAGTGACTGCTGCAGCGATAACCGCATGTGGAAGCTCCCATGTCGTGCATATCGATTGAGATACTATTCCGCTGAATGTCATTGTCCTTAGAGCGAGTAGGTGAGTTTTGTACGTAAGGTGTTCTGGCAGTCTTGTCTGACTGAAGGCTTGGACGCTTCGCAGGCCTCCCGGTAAAGTTCATGGAAGAAAGACGTATCGACGCATAACCCAAGTCGACGGAGGCATTCCAGCTGTAACTTGTAGCAACATGATCTCATCGGGTTCATCACTGGCGAGCTAAAATGTATGTAATCTCAGAATTCTAGCAACTAGACACAGAGTCAACAGCTAGAAGCGGTTCTATTACTAAACAGCCATTGCTCCGTATCGATTTTCACTACGTTTCCGTAGTGACTAAAACAAGAATTGTGAGTGAATATTTGTCACCACGATCACAGTAACAGGCGGTGAAATATGAACTAACTTGGCTTTCTATTGAGAAACTCCTTGAAATGGCCCCTTCTCAATGTTAATGTTGTGTGTTGGCATAAACGACGGTACTTATGCATTTGGCGACTGGATGCATTTTTCGTAGCCCGACAATTACCCCACTTCTCACGTAAGTGCGAAAACAGAATAATGAACAAAACAGGTTGGTGACGAAAGAAACGCATTTTTACCGTGGGTTTAGCTCGAGTAGGATCTTTTCACCAATCACTCAGTGTACAGTCTCCTGTCGATTCACTTGGTCGAACGCTTACAAGGCGTCCTTACGCTGAACATCCGTGCAGATATCGCGGATATGACAGAGCAGAAGCAAGTATCTGCGCAGGAGAATAATGTCAAAGGAATGAGAACAGGTTCGAAGTACGTTTGTTCACTGTACGTAAATATTACTCCACACTTGCCCGTCCCAGGTTGTGTCCTAGTGTGCGGACGTTTTCTGGCTATCAGTGGGCACTCCCGAAATACAGTTATTTTCCTATTGTAGTTTTACGCTTTTGTTTCTACGTGTAACCGTATTTTCCTGTCTTCTTTCTTTACTTGCTTCACATTCGGAACTCCGACCTTTCCTTTTAGTACCGATCGCCGTTCGCGTGTTTCCACGAAAAGCCGGGTATCGAAATCTGCCATATTTTTGACCGGTGGTCGTCCAGTTGATCACAACTATCTGAGATCTCGTTCTATTTCTTCAACTGCAAGCAGAATCGACGGTTTCGGTGGCTTCCGCCACATATGTGAGCACTGCGCAGCTGCTCACAAGTCGCGCGTCGGAGTGCTTGATGATCGTCTTTACAGGCAAAGTTTGGAGGAGACTCTCAATTTGGATGGACCCGTGTCTCCTTACTCCCCTTTGAATAGGCCTCAGCTTGCATCAGAATCTGGTTTTTCGCCCTTCAATCGCACTGCTGGTCTTTTGTACAGTACTTTACCCACATCTCCCCAATTTCCTGTCTCTGAGGAGTGTTGTGGTATTTTCGGTCGTCATTTCATACAATCAAGCGATCTTCGAAGGTCCTGTGGTACGGAACTGGGCCACTTGGCTCATGGTTTCACAATCTGTACCACATCAGCCAGTCATAGTAGCATCTCAAGCGTTTCCACGACACACTGTGCTCGTAGACGCTGTTTTTCCACCTACAATAGCTTAACTTCGACATTATCTACTCAGGTGAAGTTAGGTCGAAGACTTTGCAGCCTCATCGACCACCCTTGCACCAGTTTGTACCACTCCTCGCGGTCCATCGCTTCTGCTCATTCTACGCATGGCCGCCCGATCGTTTTTTGTCGAAATCGACACACAGTCACCCCTACTTCGCCATTTTGTTCCGAGATGCACACAAAACCTTTACCTAATTATGACCCCCTTGTCCCATCCAACTGTGTATCCTCACTTCAACATACATCGTCGTCAGACAGAACTCATGAAGGATTTCTATCCACCGGATGGTTCAAAGACTCCGTTCTCCAAAATGGCCTACTGTCGGGAGCGAAACCGATCAGCCCCGAGACCAGTGATTCAGATAACGATCAATTTGCCCCTCGCTGTCGGCGAAAATCCGATCCGGAATACTGGCAGCAGTTGCGTGCAAATGAGTCCAAGGATTCAGATGAGGTGTCAAAAATCAATCGCCTTTCAACTTCGGCTCTCCATTGCACTGGCGTCTCACAACCCTCGCTGATGCCAACAAGCTCCTTTGATGTCTCCCTCTCAGAGCAAGTTAACGATCATACCTCTGTGACAGCAAATTCTAGAGGAGATTTCAAATGTCCTCCGTTTGGCGGGTAAGTTTTTTATATTCTTAATTCGTCGTAAAATTTAGTTTGCACTCATATGTACACTGTAGCATGTCCATATCGAAAGTATAATCCTAGTAATCCTTGTCTTGAACTATCTTCGGACGCTTGTTTTACTCAGCTTGTGGGTGATTTTGCTCATTGACAGTGTTCAAGTAGTCTTCATTGTGATTGTTGCTCAACTAAGCTAAACTAGCCAAATGTAGCTCTACACTTATCTCCGTAGGATGGATCAGACTTGTTACTTTCAGTTTTTACTTGTTATCACGCCGTCTACTTTTCGACCTTGTCTCAAGCTGATTTCCGGTTTGTACGCTCAACTCAAGGCGTTTTATTTCCTGTAACCCCATCTGCCCCTTGACGCATTCTGCATTTATGACGATTGCACTCCGTTGCCTCGAGACTGGACCATAACGTGATGTGACGGTTTGCGTACCTCGTTGACCAATTGAGCTTTACTGCGCCCTTTGAGAACTGCTTCTACCAGACTGCTCAATGGTTAGAGGTCAGACAAAATCAGTCTCCCGACCCTCTAGGTTGGGGTCTAACATGGGATGGCGGCCATTTCTGTAAAACCAAATTATTATCGCTTCCCTGCTGCCTTGTGGACAGGTTTTTTGAGCCAAAGGCTTTGGTTGAGGACCCTAATCGTTCTCCTATCTAGGTCTAGGCAGCCCACATACAAGTATGACTTGCGTCAAACATAAACTTCATCCTGCATCGGCCGTCGCGCAGGTTGTCATGGGTCGCCTTATCTGCTGCATACAACAGTGCGGATAAGCAAAAACACACTACTGCTGGCGCCTCCCTTCTTTCTTTTCAACCCTCATTACTAATCTTCGTTCTATAATTCCCAGTTTAGTTGGCAGCAACCGCAATGCCATTCAAGTCCTACCATTTGCAGTTACTTTTATTCATCATCCATTGGACTCTTATTGGCAACGGTCATTTATAAGTTCACACTGTCCCGTTTCCCTTTGGCGATCAACGTTCGCACTCTAAGTCCAATGGGTCAACAGGCTGCACTCGTATGCACATTGGACAAGCTGTGTATTGCCGTATGTTGGCTGTGCGAAACTAGAACCGATGACCCTCGCGAGGTTGTTGAACTAATTACAGCCGACCTAATTTCTCGTTATTGATTGCACGTACCTTGAGTGGCCGATGCGGCCAGCATTGATCAGGCTAGAGTGAGCTTCATTCTCAGCTCCAAGGCTAAGTCATCAATGGTTGGTTGGATTCCTGTGAACAGCCGTTTTTGTACATCCCGCTTTAGAAGATGTCATCTATGGTTGATTCAGAAGCACTACTAGAGGCTGTTTCCGCTTATGCCCCCACCGACTGCAGTTCTGATCCTACTGTGGACACTTACCACAAACTGAAGGCGCTGCTTCGCAATCTCATTACTTTACTTGTCATTGTTGTTGCAGGGGATATGAATGCACAAACGGGTCATCTGAGCTCTTCGGAAAATCAGCTAGGTTGTGATAAGCATAGACTTAACTCCGACCGGACGGACAACGGCAAGCGCGATAATGGCTGATTATAACGTGGGGCAGTGAAGGTTGCCGATGCCGCCTTCGCACGAGAGCCGACTGTTTGTGACGATGCGTTGTTGACAAGGTACCTTGACCCGGAATGTTTGTTTAGGATATTAAGCTTTTACGCCAGGTCACCCTTATCTCCCTGTTATTCTTCTTTAAATTCCCCACCACGATTGCACGGCAGCGAAGCACTTTTTCGAATGCTTGATGCACTGTTGTTGGTAGTTATGATGCCTGCGCTAAATACGCTGACCTCAAGAACAGCCCACTTCACTTTGCTCGATTTTTCTCGATATCTGTCTTCTTGAAGTCTCGATTGTTATTCATAAGGTCATTGCTTCCGAAAGTTGTGTGTTTTGGACGTTCATCACGGTTTTACTTAACTCGAAGTCATGTTTTATTCTACTTGAAATGATCTTTGGTTGTTGTTACTTCCGACACTTTTCCCGCAACCAGCTCTTTTGGTATTTGCGACCTTTTGAAATTCCCTTTATAATTCCGGACAGGAAAATCAGACGACGTAATTTGTGTAATGATGTCCTGGGCAGCTATATTAGCACCCGTGGGATTGAAGATGAGGTTACGAACCGTATAGCAAAAGTTCGAGGTGCTTTTGCCAACTTCCGCCACCTGTGACGCAGACGCGACATTACTCTCGCCCTGAAGAGCAGAGTTTACAACGCAGCCGTCCGTTCAACTCTCCTATATGGCTGTGAAACCTGGCCCATCAGGTCGACAGATATAAAGAGGCTCGTCATATTCGATCATCGCTGCCTTCGCAGCTAAGATCATGTCTGGTGGGAACACCGCGTGAGCAATGAGCGTGTTCGACGTCGCGTATTTGGTGCAGGAAGAGCGAGTGAACCGCTCAGCACCATTATATCACGCACCAGGCTCCGATGGCTGGGCCACGTGTTGCGCATGCCAGCACACCGACTCCCACGACGTGCGTTGTTTGCGCGTTGTGGGTGCGGTTGGAAGAGGAGAAGAGGAGGCCAAGTGATGACTTGGTCGAGAGAAATGAAAACCCTCACTTCGAAGTTGGCGTTGGTTGGTGCATCCCGACTGCCTGGCTGGGGTCCTAAGGACGGTGAACACGTTTGGTTGGACACACTTGCTGATATGGCTCGGAGCCGGCCCCAATGGCGTTTGTGTTGTGAGTTCCTTTGTCCATCCCCCTCCTGCTTTGCATCCCCCTCCAATCACGACATCACTTGTTAGGCATAATATGACTCTCTTTTACGGCAGTTAGCTGTTAGCTCTCCGGAACGATGTCCATCCGTCACCGGGGACTCAGCGGGCGTGCCACTGTATTTTTTCTTTTCTTGTCTTTTGTATTGCGGCCCAATAGCTGAGGTGTTTTCCACCTCCAGCTAATGTGCAATGATGATGATGATGTCCTCCTTTCATGTATTCTTGTCAGTTGCAAACATGCAACAGTGGTGTACAGAGCGAGGGATCATGTGAACTCGGTCAATGACCAAACGGTTTGTGCCACCGAAGTAGGTTTAAAGTCACCGTCAAATGTTTCGGACGGACAACGATAAGCATCCTCGATCGATAACGGTGGCTTTCTGTAAGCTGAAAATATGGTGTCGCTGATCACGCGTATGGATGACGAACAAATCATCTGGGTTGATTTAGTGCCTTATGACTGTCAAGTCAGGTCGGTTTCTCGATTCACCTGATTCTGCCGTCACCGAATCCATCCAGTTGCATAACTAATTAGGATGTGTTCATTGATTCCAGCACCTTCGGTTAATGCACCCAACATACCTCCCACCACAGCTACAGTCGGGTTTGTGTTCCCAGCGGGATGGGCATTGACTCATCGTCCGTGTTTTAATCGAACACAATTGCAGGCATGGTCGGCGTGAGCATCCATAATTCTACCGCAGTGTACGTCATTTCTCGGTAACTTTCACAATTTCAAGTTGAACATTTGCTTCTAAGGGACTACTGGCACACGATTTTACCTGGTTACGTTACTGAAGTGCTTCATAAAATGCGATCGATAGCCGTTGTATTCTGATGTATCGAACAATGGCTCGTTCTTTACTTCTAGTACATGGGGTGCGGATCATGTGATCTCCATACTACATGGTCCGGGCAAGAAAGCCTTTATGTTGTATCCTTGAGAATCTCTTCGAAAATACCTTTCTGACTCCTCTCGGTTATCATCACTGTTGTGCACGTTAGGTGCAGGTGAAAAACACCTCAGCTGTTGTGCCACGATACAAAAGTGAAGAAAAAACATGCAACAGTGGCACGCCGGCTGAGTCACTGGTAACGAAAGGATATCGTTCCGGATAGCTAACAGCTGGCTATTATGCCACAAAAAGTTATATCATGCCTAATACTTGAGATAATGGATGGTGGGGGAGGCTAAGCGTGAGGAGGATGGACAAAGAAGTTGACAACACAACCCCCATTAAGGTCGGCTCTTATCCATGTCAAAAAGTGTGTCCAGCCAAACGACTTCATGGTCCTTCAGTCCCCAACCAGGGAGCCGAGAGACTCCAACCGAGGCCAGCTTGGAAGTAAGGGCCTTCATTCCTCTTGACCAAGTCATCGTTTGACTACCTCTTTTCTTCTTCCATGCACACCCCTTGCGCGCAAACAACCCACGTCGTGGGAGTCGGTGGGTTGGCATGCGTAACATGTGGGCGTGCCATCGGAGCCTGGTGCATGAAATAACGGTGCTGAGCGGTTCGCTTCTTCTTCCTACTCCATAAACAAGTTGTCGAACATGCTCATTGCTCACACAGTGTTCCCACCAGAAATGAGCCACTCTTCGAAGGCACCGGTGGTCGAACGTAACTAGTCTCTTTATGTCGGCTGGTCTAATGAGCCAACTTTCACAGCCGCACAGTGGGGTCAAATGTATGGCTGCATTGCGCACGCTACTCTTTAAGGAGCGTGATGTCGCGCCGGTGTCATAGGTGGCGAAGGTTAGCAAAATTGCCTCGTGCTTTTGCTATATACAATTTGTGACGTCTTCATTCCCGACGGCGCTGACACAATTACTTAGATAGTTGAACTTTTGAATAACTTCTAGCTGATCCTTACTAACGATCAGCGCAGGAGGCGGTCCCTGCCATTCTTGGAGGGAAGTTTTGCACTTCGAGGGTGCAAGGCCTAGTCTGAAACATTTGACAGCGAGTGATAATCTGTCCAGAGCCGCTTTGCACATTTATGAGCTGTCACAGATGAGGGCAATATCGTCAGCATACTCCAAGTCAACTCCACACCTACTTAGTCGTGCTTTGTGAACGCGATCTCCATAACTTCGTCAATATCAAAATTGCAGAGGAATGGTGACAGTGGTCATGCTTGTCTTACACCGTTCGAGAAATTGAAGAACGGCGAACGGTTGCCGTAAGTCCTTACTCTGCCCGAGCTACACGCTCATAGCACTGGGATCATTTTTACATATTTCCCGGG